GCCTCCAGCATCGCTGCGGTGCTGGGAAGCCGGATCGCCATCTCCGGATCAATGAAAGCCCTCTCGTCGTCATCGCAAGCTTGCCGTTCTTCGCGGGACCCCTCCTGCGGAGCCGCCTGCGCGTGGCCCTCCGCCAAGAAGTGCAGGAAGAGGAAGAAAGCCGCCTCCGAGTCCGTCTGCCCCTGGATCTGCGCCGCGAMCCTTGCACCCATCTCCGCCAGCATGAAGCAGCGAACCTGCGCGAACCGCGCGATCCCGCCATTGTGCATCCACATGAACCTTCCGTACGTCCACGGATGGCAGTTCTCCACTGTCACCTCTCCGGCCGTGCTTGCTCGATTGTGCGCAAAGAAACACTCGCTCTTAACCGTCTGCGCCAGCTCCTTGAGACGATCGTCCTCCGCGCCGGCCTTCACTGTCTTGTACACCATTGGCGGCGCCCTAGCCTTCAACGCCGAGGAGGAGGGAGAGGTGTCGTCGAGCGGGTACCAGCCAACGCCGAATCCATCAAGGTTGATGGGGTGGTTACGCCGTGCATGGAGTAGCACGTCCACCAGGTCCGATTTTGGGTGCAGAATGTGAGGGATGTAGTGACTGGTCGCCATGTCGATAGCAGAGTGAGACGGCTTCAGGAGGACGGCGTCCAGCCCAACCGCCGGCCCGACGAACATAGTCCACCGRCACATGGTGCTTGATCTATTACTGCTCTTGCCGCTGCTGCTACTCCTATAATGAAGATCACGCACCTGACCAGCCAGAAGCGGAAGCGTCAAGCCCGGTTAGCGGATCAAACTCCTCCCGGTAGGTAGCTGCCTCCCTCGACCTTTGAGATACCCGAGGCGCACAAGCTAACGCAATCAAGGTTCCTGTGTGGGTGGGCCACCTCGGATGCCTCCCTCTGTGTGTGAGTGTGTGTGTGTGTGTGTGTGTGCGTAAGTGTGTGTGTGTAAGTGTGTGTGTGTAAGTGTGTGTGTGCGTGTGTAAGTGTGCGTGTGTGYGAGTGTCCGCGCGAGCGAATGACGATGTTGTGAAGCAAGTAGCGATGCACTCTCGGCGTTATGGTCGGCTGATGATTTCCTTCGCTGCTTTGGGGCTAGGAAATACCCTTGTTGACGTCACCTCTATATCAGCCTGACCACTCGAATGGCACTGCGACGACAAGGATGGCGACCTGAACATATCTTTTTCCGGCAGGTCCGCAAGCTTTATAGATCGAGAAGAAGGAGACCGGGCGCCTTGAGAGCAGACCGTTGGCGGAGGTCCGCATGCTCCCGTAGCGAGAGCCAAATGTTTTTCTTTTTTTTCCCCATTTGTTTTCTCATGTATGTATCATACTAATAACCTCACAAGCTCCACGTGGCCCCTCGCGACGACATCCATTCATTCAAATTGGAAYGTTTCTTTTTTCTTTCCCATTTGTTTTCTCATGCAACTACCGGTAGGCCCTTAGCATGGTCGCTGCGCAAAGTTGACATGCATAAATCCTGAACTGGTTCCCAAAAAAAAACGAAAAAAAAAAAAGCTCCGGGTTCATCTTGCCGAGGCTGGAAGGGTGCGACCTCTCACCCCTGGAGCCTAAGTCCCACTAGCAGCGTTGAGCTACCTCAACGCCTGAATCTTGAAGCTTTTGCGGAGATGTGTTAAGTTTCCTGAACTGCACTTCTCCACAAACACGTCCAGATTCTGGCGTTGAAGTAGCTCAACGCTGCTAGTGGGACTTGGCCCCTGGATAGGCTTGGGAGTAGTCCTAGGTAGATAGTGAAAGGTGAAATTGAGAGACGAATAAAAAGAAGGGTTAAACAACAAGAAGGGTGCGACGATCCTCTACTGGCAAAAAGCCCCCTCGGTCTTTGCATTAGCCCGACCCCTCCCCCCTCCGCAGTGTTGTAGTTGCTCGGCTGCAATGGCCCCGTCCCATGGACGGTCATCGAAATACTTCGGGCCTCGCTCTACTGCGGACCAAATGTTTCAAAATGAAATGACACTTCTCATCAACTGTGCAAAATGAGAACGAATCTTCCGCAAGAACATGGGAAGAGGCGCACTGCCATGTAGTCTTTTGTGCATGTGGATGGTAGTGGACCGAGGCCCTTCAGGTCGTCGCAAGTACTGTTTCGTCGCAGAGACCCAACGTTTTCTACACTTGTTTGATGTGTTCGCGACACGCGGCACGTTCGCGACAAGATTCGTCCCACTGTAACCACTGAAACAACGCGAGTCGGGCCTTTACGCTGCCTTCTGCCTTCTGCCCACAACGACGAAAGACCTTYGAAAAAAAAAGGAGCAAGCGAGTACTCATGCCATTGGGCCTCGCTGCACTACTCTTGACATGCACAAAAGACAAAAGTCATGGCGGTGCATCTTTCCATATTCTAGTGGAAGATTCACTCTCGTTTTGCACATTTCGAGAGTAGTGCAGCGAGCGTAGGTCCTCGCCACACCACCGGCATAGCGAAAAAAGTAGGACTGCATCCCCGCAAGAGAATGGCAAGTCCTGATA